CTGTCTGCTTCTTGTACTATGGATAACCACTAAGAAGATAACAATGTACAGTGTATTGACTATCAAAACTGTCCTATTAATCAGCTGTGAAAGTGTCTCATTCATATTTATTTCTCAATAAAAAAAAAGATGGTGTCCTTCATGCCACTCCTGACAGTCCAAGGATTAGAAGGACTACACATAGCGAATGGCCTACCACATTTTACAGAAAGCACTGTATTTCCAAGTAAATCTGGGAAAAATGCAAATTTTATACCTTCACTAAGGATGGGACCTTGTTTGCCTGAGGCTATGGAGAAAAAGTAAATATTACTAATGTCATTAGTAAGAGACTACTGCACTCCTTTGATCTCCCAAATCAGTTTGCCTGGAATTCTCACCCCAAAACACTATCCTGGCAACCTGGCAGCCTTAAACTACTTTGCACAACTGGGACACCTAACTTACAAACTTATGATGTGAAAACTGGGACACGTTTGAAATCTTTTGTATAGAAAACAGCACATGAACACTGGACATGGTGGTGCATGATTGTAATCCCAGCTCTAGGGAGACTATAAGAGTCCGATCTAGTAGTGAGACCATGAACATCCTGTAGACCCTTCCCTAAAATACAAAAAAGAAACAAAAAACAAAAAACAAAAAAACAACATATGGGCAGGCCAAATAGCTCAGTAGATTAAAGCACCTACAAGCAGGGGGGTATAGTGGGAGTTTCCCAGGCCTGGTGAGCAGGCGCCAGCTCCGCCTCTAGGGTAAGCTGTGACTGCAATTGAGATGGGGCATGGTGGCATGCACCTGTAATCCCAGCTCTTGGGAGGCTGTTAACAGGCGGATCACACTACAAGTCTGCTCTAGTAGTGAGACCCTGAACACTCTGTAGACCCTTCCCTAAAATACAATACAAATAAATAAATAAATATAAAATAAAATAAAATAATAATAATAAAGAAAAAGAAAACAGCACAAGGTGTCTATCTTGGTCAGAAGATGAAATCTTTTGTGCCTGAAATGTTAACAATGAAGTTAACTTCTTTGAAAACAATTTTAGTATGGAAGGATTTAATAATTCTACTATTATAGGAGGATTTTTTTTTTGGGGCTCCGAATGCCTTCAGGGCAGGTTTGGCTAGTTTGAGTTCTGGGGATCGAACCACAGCAACCTGAGTCTGACTGCTTTGTTGAAGCAGCCACTTAAAGAACTGAGCTAAGGGGAAGGTCCCCAATTTTATTATAAAAATAAAAATATATTGGGCTGGGGAGATGGCTTTGTAGAACAAGCGCTTCCCTGGCAAGTGCAAGGGCCTGAGTTCAATCCCTGGTTCTGCCAAAAAAAAAAAATAAAATAAAAATAAAGTCATAGGACTGGGCTGGTGAGATGGCTCAGTGGTCTAAAGCACCTACTTAGAACAAGCTTAACAAAGCACAAGGACCACGGTTCAATCCCCCAGCACCACATGCCAGCCAGCCCTGCCCCCTGGTGGGCTGAGCTGGCCACACACATAAATAAATAAATAAATAAATAAATAAATAAATAAATTTTTTTAAAAAAAGTCATAGGACTGTCCTGCTACAATGTTGTATATGGCAGATTTCTAAATTTCGATGTAAAAATGTGTAATTGTTTATTTTTATATATTTTTTTCTACATTCTATAGGGATTTAAAGTTTAGCATATCAACAACTGTTGGAAAACACCTGTTCCATGTTAGGTTTAAGGCGTTTGATATTCTGACAGATAGTGATATTAAGCTCAAATGCCTATGTTATAGGGTAATAATATCATAAAGCTTCTCTTCTGGAGAGTTAACAACTTAAGTTTGCACACCAAAAAATTAGAGGAAAAGAAGGGCTATAAGGACAGCCATTATTTTCACCCTAGCCCTTCAAGATCAATGAGGACTCAGGACATAAGTGAACCTGTACTGTAACATCCTGTAACTCAGTGGTGTTACATCCTGTAACACGCTGTAACTCCCAAATTTTCTGATGAAGGAGTTTATGAAGCCACAGAGGAAAGTGTTTGATGATGTACAGTGGGCCTAAGGAGAGTCACCTAGAGAGAAAATATTCTCTCAGGCTTTCAGAGAGAGCAAATTGGTCAAGCAATGGCTGTAACTCATCCACATGGCTGACACTGACAAAGGATCTACAAACTGCTGTACATGGTTTCAGGGTAAAGCCTGAAGGGATTTGGCTGACCTTGTCAGATATAAAAGTTATATTTTGTTATATAGGTCTTGCTCTATCTTGGTCTTAACCATCCAGCAGCAAAGTATAAACATGAGGTATAAAAAGTAAAGCCATATTCATATGCTGAGCTGTAAAAAGCTCAAGTCAACAACTTCTGACTTTGCCAGTTCCTCGAATAACCTCGTCGTCGTCCTCCTCCGGACTATTAAACTATATTGGATTATCTTGCTGAATTCACGCACCTACAGTATGTGAATGGCAATGGAACACCCATCTCTGACAAAACTAAACAAAAAAGGAGAATATAAATAAAGGACCATTTTGTAGTTAAAAAAAAAATCTATGTATCTGTATATACTTTCTCTTAGTTCAGTAAGATTTATACTAATAGGGTGTAGACAAGATATCATATCTGCATTTTGTACTCTGAATAACTAGCATGAAGACAACAATATGTAATGTATTACTTATTGTAACTGTCCTTATAACTTTTTTTTTGGGGGGGCGGCAGGGGGAGGGACTGGTGACTGAACTCAGGCCCTTGTGCTTGCCAGGCAAGTGCTTATTCTGAGCAATCTCCCCAGCCCCTACTAACCTGTCTTGAAACTGTCTCGTTGCTCTTTCTCAGTAAAATTAATTTTTTAAAAAAGGCATTTATATACTGAACCCAATTAATTCTGCTGGTTTTTCCTCATTTCATAGTAGGTAAGATTCTACAGTTGAAAAACAATGGATTTTGATTAAAAACTCTCAAGTTAGAAGCTAACTATGGTTATGCACACCTGTGATCCTGGGACTCAGGAGGCTGAGGCAGGAGATATTTGTAGCCAGCCTGGGCTACAAAGTGAGCTTAAGGCAGCCTGAACTGCAAATCAAGACCCTGTCTCGAAAAGACAGTTATTAAAAAAACAAAAACAAAAACACAAAAAAACCCCAACAACAACAACAACAAACTACCACCCCAAAAAGTTATATAAAATGTAAAAATGCTGGGGGCCGGGAGATGGCTCAGTAGAGTAAGTGCTTGCCTGGCAAGCACAAGGCCCTGAGCTCAATTCCTGGCTCCACCACAAAAAAAAAAAAAAAAAAAAAGTAAAAATGCTGCAACAGTGAACACTCAGGAATAGCCTCTTTGACATGTACGACACATGAATTTTTATTCCTATTCATGTGGCAATAGCACTCAACTATGAGATCATGAAGAATTTTTAAAAGGCTTTATTTTCTCCATCACGTCAAATGGAAGGTTTGATACAGAATTATGGTATAGGAAAGGGCCTTTCTAGAAATAACGAGGGGTTTCTTTCTAGAGCTAAAAGAGAATAAAGACACTTTTTCTTCCCAGATATAAACTTCTCATAATTTTTAAAAAATTTTTCTTTCTTTCTTGGTACTGGGAATTGAACTCAGGACCTTGTGCTTGTCAGGCAGGTGCTTGTGGCACTGTGCTATCTCCCTGATTTTTTGTAACCTCTGGATAGGAAAACATTTATGGGCAGTGTAAAAATTAGGAACAATCAGCCAGGTATAGTTTGCATGCCTGTAACCCTTGATCCTTGGCAAGGATGAGGCAGGAGGACTCCAAGTTCAAACCTGGCTTAGGCAACTGGGTAAGCATGTTAAAGTTTTTGGTTTTTTTGGCAGAACCAGGGATTGAACTCAGGCCCTAATTATTCTACTGACCTGTCTCCCTGGCCCTCAAAGTTAAAAAAATAAAAAGGTCATGAGATGTACAGCTCTGTGGTAGATGGCCTCCCTACGATGTGTGAAGACAAGGGTTCAATCCCTAGTACTACAAACCACAACCCAGGACTGAATGTTTAGTTATTTTTCCTATAAAACAGTACTAGGGAAGATACATTACAAATGACAGCCTTTCTAAAACTTAATTATTATTTTTAGTTTTTTGAGACAGGATCTCACCATATAGTTCAGACAAGCCTTGAGCTTAATTATGTAGCCCAGGCTGGCCTCAAACTCAAGGCAATTCTCCTGCTTCAGCATCCTAAGTGCTGGGATAATAGGTATGTGTCACCATGCCTGGCTCTTGAATTTTTTTTCTTATTTACTGCAGGGTCCATGGGGTCTCACTACATAGATCAGACTTGTAGTGATTCTCCTATTTTTTGGCTCCCAAACACTGGGATTACAGGTGCTTGCCACCATGCCCAGTCTCAACTGCCATTTCAGTGCACCCTGGGGGGTGGGGCCAGCACTGATCAAACCCTGGCCCCTGTGCTCTGCCCAAGTAGGCACTTTAGTCTGCTGAGCTATCTGGCCAGCCCATCTTAAATTATTAAAAACAAAAATTCCACATGTTACAATACTCTGGAAATTAGGTAACTCTGTTCCACCTTTGGTGCTGGGGAGCAGGCAAACCCAGGGTCTTGATGCTAGACAAAGGCTTTACCACTGAGTCACATCCTCAGCTGGAAGACAATACCCTTTAATACTAAACTGACTAACTTCACCACCCTTACTGGGGATAAAACTCAGAATCACATGGATGGTAGGCAAATGCTGCATCACTTATATTCCCAGCCCCAACCATCTTCAATTTTATTTTTTATTTATTTTTTTTTTTTTGGGGGGGGGGGACTGAGGATTGAACTCAGGCCCTTGAGCTTGCCAGGCAAGCGCTTATTCTACTGAGCCGTCTCCCTGGCCCCCTTCAATTTTATTTTCGAAACAGGGTTGATACAATTGTCCAGACTGTCCTTGAATGTGTAATCTTCCTGTCTTGGCTTCCCACGTAGATGGGTTTTCAGAAATGCGCCACTATAACTGATTTTTTTTTTCTTTCTTTCTGGCTGCCCTTATAGAATCAAATTATTTTTAAAAATCAAAGACATAAAAGCTGAAGCAAAGCAGTAAATTAGTGAGTCATATATTAGACAGTGTTTGGGTTTCTTCCAAAATTTATCTAAGTTGACTCTGAATTATTAGCAATGTTGGGGGCTGGGGAGATAGCTCAGTGGTCTAAGTGCCTGCCTGGCAAGCACAAGGACCTGGGTTCAATCCCTGGTACCACATGCCATGCTGGCCCTGAAGAAACCCTATACTAAATAAAGAAATTAGAGATGCTGAATATTAAATAATCTGGGGTCTTCTTGTGGCTATGGGAATCTTTGATGCAACAGTATCTATCCATCTCAGTTTGAAGCTGACTGACACAGCACACTTGGAACCTCACCACTCTGAAGACTAAGGCAGAAGTGTCACCAAGTTGAGGCTCAGCCTGAGGAACATGGCAAGAATTCATCTCAAAAATAAAAAAGGCTGGAAATCTATAGCCCAGTGCAAAAGCCCTAGGTTAATTCCCAGTACAGGGGAGGAAATCAGTTTGACTGATAAATACAGATTTTGTGAGCCCCCCCACCCCTGCCCCTTACCTCTTCATTGAGACTCAGGGCACTGAGCAGGGATTCTAGGTCCTCAAACTCTGCATAACCAAAACCTTTCAATCTGTCGGGATTGCTGGGTTCACGTGGCAAACGCACTGCACTGATCTGAAGGAGTAAAGATAAAGAGTTGAAAGCCTTTTTTGGAGCACACAAGCACCAATGTATATACAACCAATCTCTCTGAAGAATACTAGAGCATCTGGATGTCTCCAGGAAGAACACTACCAGAGCACAGAAGAGTTTTCATCCTGTTACAACTTTGAATTTTCACTCATTTGCAATTAAACTCTCCAAAACAAATGGGCCCTGAAATCAGTGTATTACTACTAATCCTAGCTTTGTTTCCATTTATATGTTACATTTCTAATTTTGTTTCATCTAATTAGGAACTCTATTTCCATAAGTAGTTTTATTTAGTCACTAATCCCATCTAGTTAATGGTCTAAAATGATGCCACTTACATTTAATCCTCTAAAGAATTCCTTAATAGACTCTTCTGTCACTTCATAGGGCAGGTTCCCTAGAAAAGCAGTGTAGGGTGGTGATTTGGGAAGACGGCTCCGATCAATATTGGGTTCCCGAGCAGCCCGTGGATCAGTGGGAAGGATTGAACGGTCAATTGGAGGTGCCCTATACACATCATCATCATTACTGTGCCAGGTGGTTGAAACTAGAAGAACCAATAAAAAGAAATTAGAGGAAATCTCCCTTACTACCATTCTAGAATAAAAGCATACCAACTGCCAGATATTAAAAGTACTGCAGCAGGAAAGGTATAGTAAGGCACAAGGCTGTAATTCCAGTACCATGAGAAGTAAAGGTAGGAGGATCACAAGTTTGAGCCAGCATCAGAAATTCAGTGGGGTATAGGAAAAAAAAAAAAAAGAAAGAAAGAAAGAAAAAAAAAAAAAAAAAAACAAATTCAGTGAGAATCCAGTCTCAAAACAAGAGCTGGAGTCGATATGATGGTGCAAGCCAGCAATCCCAGCACCTGGGAGGCGTAGGCAGGAAGGCTGCCTGGGCTACTAAGCGAGACCCTATCTCAAAAAAGATGAAGAATGTTTAAAAAGTAAGCTAGGCCTTTCTTGACTGTTCATTTCTGTTCCCATTACAAAGTCTGACAGCTTAATCCTTAGGTGAAACCCTGAAGCCCAAGACTTTATACAGAAATAAGTATGACTTTGAAGTCTACAAAGTAAAGATTCTTTCACATTACAGTGATGTGAATCATGAAACAGGTTTTGCCTAGGAAATAATAAAATTCCAAGCATGACAGTAAAAGAAAATGTACCATCTCCTTCCAGGTCATCCGTTTCATCAGCCCAGCTGACTGGTTTGGAGACATAGGTGGTTCCTCCACCAGTCCCTCCATCCTCAGCGAGAAAGTCTGTTAGGGAGATGGTCTTCCCCTTCTTATTCTTCTTTTTTGCTAATTTAAAAAGAAAATAGATTATGATATCAAAGTGTTCATACAACTGTACAATGTAGTATGTTAAATATATGAAGTACGCAACATAAAAGCCATCAAAGGACTAAATTATGGAACATACAAGGAAATAGTGTGCAGATACATATAGGGAAACATCAACATAATGGTCCAGAGAAAAGAATCTAATGGTAAGTAAAAATTGCAGAGACTGGGGAGACAGCTCAGTGGAATAAGTGCTTGCCCGGCAAGCGCAAGGTCCTGAGTTCAGTCCCTGATACCACCAATAAATAAATAAATAAAAATAAAATAAAAATTGCAGTATACATGTATCAATATACTTTTAAGTATAAGAAAGGGAAAGATGTTCAATATTTCCCTCTGGGAGTACAGCTGAGGTGGAGGAAATCTTTTTACTTTATGCTACAGTCACTGATTTACCATTTGAAATTTAGTGTATGTGTGCTGTCGGGGATTGAACCCAGGGCCTTGCATGTGCCAGGCAAGAGTTCTACTTTTGAGCTATATGTTTAGCCACATTTGAAAACTTAAATTTACCAAGTACTTCTATTTAAGACAGGTTGCCGGGCATGCGGGTATATCCCTATAATCCCAGCACTCAGGAGGCTGAGGCAGGAGGATCTCCGTAAGTTCAAGGCTACCCTGGGCTAACAGTGAGTCCAAGCTAGCATGAACTATATAGGGAGACAATCTCAATAAAACAAAACCCAAACTTAAAACAAAAGAGGTTATTAAATTCATTACTTCTTAAATACAAAATAACTTTTACCCTACATCATAACATTTTATATGGCACTTTTTCTGGGGCAGCATGAAGTCTAAACTTAGGGAGCACTGAGCCATACTCCTAGCCTTTATGTATTTTTTATTTTTTAATATTATTAGGGATTGAACCTAGGGTCTTGCAGGCTTGGTAAGCGTTCTACCACTGAGCACCTCAGTCTCCTTTAAAAAACTACATAGTTTGAGCTGGGTGTGGTGGCACACACCTGTAATCCCAGTAGTCTTCAGGAGGTTGAGGCAGGAAGACTGCTCTAAGTTTGAGGCCTGGCTGGGATACATAGTGAGCTCAAGGCCAGGCTTCTGAACTATGTAGTGGGAGAGCCTGTCGGAAAAAAACCAAGCTGCCCCAAAGCAGTTAGGAGGACATGTGAAGTGCAGACTAGACTTGAACCTGTGAGTCTCCTTCCTTAGTCTCTCCAGTTGCATATGGCAGTTTTTTTTTAAAATTTCAAGTACATATTTATTTATTTATTTATTTTTAACATACCTTTTTTTAAACATTTATTTATTGTGTGTGTGTGTGTGTGTGTGTGTGTGTGTGTGTGTGTGTGGCCAGCTCAGCCCACCAGGGGGCGCGGCTGGCTGGCATGTGGTGCTGGGGGATCGAACCGCGGTCCCTGTGCTTTTCCAAGCTTGTTCCAAGTAGGTGCTTTAGACCACTGAGCCATCTCTCCAGCCCCCGCATATGGCAGTTTTGAGGGATATTTGTTAACTGTAAAAATAACCATGAGAGCAAAGAATCGTAACTACCAACTTATAGAGGAAAGTCTCAGGTTAGGTGACTATCCTAGTTACTAGATGGCAGAAACCACAATTCAAGTGAAAAGCCTTTTCTATTATACCATAGGGATTCCAGTTTTTAAGCAACATATTAAGGTTTTTTTTTCATATTAATTTTTTGGAAGTCTATCAACCACAGCAAAATGCTGTTGTACTTAGTGTTATTTGAAAATGTTTGAATAGTTGACTCATATACCCTAAATCTCTCTGCTATATAAAAAAATTATCTCCTCTACCATAACACTTCATATTGAGATATGACACTAAAAGGAAAATACAAGAAAAGTAACAACCAGTGTTTAAATGTTTTCCATGATTATGAAATATTTAATCTCCAAATGCTTTGATTTAGTGAACTGATCTTGACTCTAGCCACAAAACTTCTAAGACAGCAAAATCAACAACTAATTAAGAACAGAAGGGATTCAGTAAATTCTAACACTAGCCCAAGAGCAAATACTACATGATGAAGAAAAAAAGTAGCTACCGTAACAAAGATCATCTTCATGACTTGTTAACCATGCTTTCCTTTTCCATGTTCCAATTCTCATCTAATTTTCAACCTAAGAGAGCTAAGTACCTGTAACTTGAAGCACCACTTGCTTAACTGAAGGTTGTTCTCTCACTTGGTATATGTCTTGCTTTTAATATTCAACTGTCAGGAAATTAAAGGTGACCTGTTTGCTACGAATGTTACAGCCTTCTGAACATTACAAGAACCTGAAGTATTATGGTCTCAAGGTGCAAATCTGATGAACTTGGCTGCAATAATATGAAAAAAAGATGTTCATTAATGTGAAATTTCTGTATTTCTCTCAAATGATTTAACACTAATCTGGCTACCAAGAGTACTGTATGTGTCACAAGTGACCAGATCACAGCTATTCTAGTTAAGAATCTACCCTAAAGCTTTGAGAGAAAGCAGCTACTCAATAGATTGAGTTTTATACCCCTGTTCTTCTCCAGCTCACTGCAAAGATCTAGGAGAAATTTTAAAAAGGTAATGTGAACAAGAAGGTGAATACTCAGTGCATAGCCATAGTCATTTTATTATATCTCTTAATTTAAAGTGTCTGGGATTAGTATGATACTTGTCAGAGCTCTTATCTTCACAGGGCTTAATCTAGCACCATTAGCTAATACCCAATTATTAACATGTCCTACTACTGGGAGAAAAATAGACGTAGTGGTCAGTCTACCAAGAGGTTAAGCTGAATATAAGAACAGTAAGAACCCGAGCAAGGTAGCCTTTTTCCCTTGGTACACATACAGCAAAGGGCAGAATCTGCAATTTTCTCTTTGAGTATATGGTTTAAATCAACTTTTTTTTTTTTGCGGAACTGGGGATTGAACTCAGGCCCCTGAGCTTGCCAGGGAACTGGCAACTCCACTGAGCCAACTCTCCGGCCCCTAAATCAACTTTGAAGATCAGGGTTTCTTAATTTTTAACTCCTTGATTCTTTTAACAAACAAAAGCCTCACACTCTAATATTAAAGTTTCAAAATAAATTAGCATACCTGAAATATTAAAGCACTGTTAATTTTAGAGCATTTTTTGAATCATGTATCTCCCCTTTCTCTAATTGTTGTCCTTCAATTGAGAAAACTGTTAATAACTTCAAGGATAAATTTCTTTATAAACTCTTCATCTTAAAGAATAGCACGGGCTGGTGAGATGGCTCAGTGGTCTAAAGCACCTACTTAGAACAAACTTAGCAAACACAGGGACCGCGGTTCAGTCCCCCAGC